TAGTGTCCTTCCCTTGTCAGTAATTTTTCGTTCCAATACTTCTTGCCGCTCAAAACGTATCAAAGAGCTTATGAAAATTTATTTTGAATTAAATAAGTAACAAATAGAACATGCAACATGATCATCTCAGTATGCAGGTGCAATTTTTGACAAATTTTTCACCATCGACTCATATTTTGCTATAAAACCAACTCCTGGCCATGATAAGCCTAGTGCAAAGCGTTGGTATATTGATGTGACATATGGAGCGATCTGTAAAAGAACGAATTGGAACAAATTTAGTTATTACTTTGAAATATTTGAATTATGGTTTCAGAGACATAAAAACAGAATAAATGCATTGCAAATCTGGAATTGGCGTATTTTATCCAGTTTTTCTTTCTAGAACGCGTCTGTTTATTTGAGGTAATAGCAAGGAGATTGTGAACTAACCCAGTGCAAGACAGTCCGATATATGAAAAGATAATGTAGAGCAGACGATACTGCCAGGCGACGTTGAAGGCGAACAAACACGGTAGATAAGAAAACAGTATCGTCTTCAAGTGGAGAACCTGAATCATACTCGTACAAACTCCGGAATGCAGGAGCTAATAGGCGAGCTCTCATTTAATTTTCATTCATTTTCATTTTCGAGTACGCTCAAGGCGTTTCAGAAAAAAAAACAATGAAAGATATTAGTCTACTGTGAAATGAACAGTAACAGAACCATATACTCCAAGCCTTGCCAACTAAACAAGAGAAGCTTGCTTACTGCATGATTGCAATGACGAAACTGAGTTATTTACACGGAAGTGATACTCATGCGTCTGCGTTAGTCATCAAGATGCATCATATAGAGTTCGAAGCAGATTGTTAATTCTTGCAAATCCAATATCCGAACAGTGAAAGAAGCAACGCTTTATGATATAGCGACGAATATGCTAATTAATATGGAACAGCGCGTTTAACTAAGCATTATGACCATTTGTTCTGTGCTTGTATGATGCAGCTAGAAATTTAGAATTTCGAGCTCTAAGGCTGTCTTCAAAAAACCAGTTTATTCAGCATTGATTAATTTG